AACTGTTAGGAACTAACCCGGGTTGACGCACTAGAAATGTTGAAATGAACACTAATTGTGTTCAGTTCGGCTGGTTCTAGCAGAAAAGTGGCCCCTCAATGAAATCATGCGATTCGCCATGATGAGGAATAGGTATCGATTTTACGCAAAATGGAAAAACTGCAGCGATTGCAATCCTGGGCCAGGGGTGATTAGGGTTATATGACGATGCGACAGAATGATCGTGTCTTTAGTTTCAGATGATTCGCCTTTAGTTGTGATAACGTTTTCGCTGCAGGACTACGATGCAGGGCCCTGCACCAAAAATATCTTCAGTGCGACCACACGCTTAAAACGTGACCGCAGCTGCGCATGTGGGCGTGTACGGCACCGTTAGCACGAAAAAGAAGGGGTCTGAAGGATTCCACGATCCGGGAACGGCTGAAAAAACGCCTCTGTCAAGCCTACCGCGACGCGACCGCACGCTCAATGGTTACGAATTGCCACCTAAGGCCAATAAGTAAACGATAAGTCGTGTCCTGTGCTCCACCATCAGCAGGGTTTGCATGGCTAAACAAATGACTGTTTGTCCTAGATTGTATCCCCTAACTAGTAACCTCCCAATACATTTAACCCGAGTCCAGATGTCATCTAACTGCTCGACTAACACTGTGTCTTCTTCATTTTCTGTGAAATTAACCTTTGATCCAACCTAACCTCTTCAGGTTAATGGCGTGAATGTTTTCACGGTGACCTTCGATCGAGTGGCAAAGAGTGACGTCATCAGTGCAAAATCAGAAGACGAGACACTTCGCTTATTGTATATGGATAGTGGTGAACTGCGGCAAATTGTCCAAGAAGCGCCGATCGATATGGAGCCGGTGTACAGATTAGCGAATCTGACCATTAACTACGATTCTCTGGGCAGAAGGTAGGCGTCTCAAAAGTTGCGCATGGAACTTAAAAGCAAGTGGATAGCGACGGCCGGTAGGCGGAGTCATTTTGAGATGACGTCATTGGTGGAGCGGCCGCGGGAGATGGTTATACCTCCTGAAGGGTGTGGTCGGCTCGCTTCCCAACGCCAATGCTCTTCCACCGATTGCCGTTGCCAAATCGACCCTGCCTCCCTAGCCATTCGCGATTCACTTCCTTGGATCAACGTTGCTGCGAGTAACGGTGAAAACAGTGTATTTACAGGAACGAGCTGATTTGGGGGAAACCGGAGCACGCAGGTGACGCATACGATCGACAGAATCGTGTTGTGGAACGAACGATTAGTGATTTTGTATCCACAAAATATGCCTACTACAAGGAACTTCGGCATCCTTCAACGGTCGAACTGCCCGGTGGCTCAAAATATTCCCTCAAGGTGAGATTTCCTCAATAACTATTATGCTGGCCCGTTTAATCGTGCGAGATAAGATTGAGTAGTCACATCAGGGTGGTGGATAGAAATCCGAGCACGGAATCAGCCTATTTTGCTGACGATTCCTAACGCGAAAGTCACATTAGTCGATGTCTATTCCTTGAAAGCGGGTTTTCCATCGATGGGATTTTCTGGACAGGAAAAAGGTGCCCAATGAGCGGGCTCACATAGGGTTGTGTTGGGATCCTCAGGATGGGACTTTAAGGCGACACAGAGTGTTTAACTTAGGGGGTCGTGCTTGTTCCTTAAGTGAATCGTGGCCACGGTGGTGCAAGAGGAATTGGTGAGGTATTCTGTTCATATCGGCGCTCCGCTAGCCGCTCGCGTGCATCCAAGGCGTCATCCTCAAAAAGTTTTGCATGTGCTGTTTGTCCACACAATGCGACACAAGGGAAAAAACCCGCTCATGGCTCATCGCGCGCGATCATAGCGGCAACAAAAACGGCGCGTTCAGCATTGTCCCGACGCAGGGCCGGCAGGGAATAAAAACGACGACACGTCTCATAGAAAGGAAAGGTATAAAGCAATTGAAATCGTTGCCGCAACGCGGTGAGATAGATAATTGATTTCGGGTGAGCTGATTCTCGCATTTCAGTATGACACCCGTGGCCGTCTCAGGGAAATCGTGACACCATCTAGCGAATCTCATCATTTCGCAGCGACGCCTTTTGGTAGTGGACGAGTTCTGAAGCGACGGTACGTCAAAATATTTTTTTGAAATCAATCGTAACAAATATTAGTGAAATAAAAAACAGGTAAATGAAATAAAGAAAAAATAAAGAAATAAAGTGAATAAAATATGAAAAATAAATGTATTTATTCCACAATTACATAGCTCCTTTCTTGTTAGAATTAGGAAGTTTTTTCTAGCTGTTATTGAAATTATTTCACGCGTTTATTACTTTTTATTTGTAAATCATCTAATGACGTAAAGCTGGAAATGGGCGGATTGTTGAAGTGTTGCGATTATCGGTCTTCTCTATGTTCAGCAGTACATCAATTTTTGGAATTCTGCTCGCTGCAACCTTTACAACCTGTGTTTGGAGATCATGTCATCAGGGTGGGGGTTTGGCTTAGTTACTAACCAGGAAGGTCTTTCAGGGCGTGACGAGCTTTTTGAAAACGGTCTTTTGCATGATATAGGGGCAGATGCGGGGACCACAGAACCATGTTTAATTTTTCCTGAACGGCCCTCTGAATACCAGAAAAGGGGGTCCCTAGTTCGATTCCTCTTGGTGACAAATTTTTGCATTTCGAGTTGACGTTCCAAAATTCGCGCAAAATGGAGTTCTGATTGTTCTGGTTGGTTCTAACTCCATTTTGCGCGAATTTTGGCACGTCAACTCGAAATGCAAAAATTTGTTACCACGAGGAATCGAACTAGGGACCTCCTTTTCTGGTATTCAGAGGGCCGTTCAGGAAAAATTGAACATGGTTCTGTGGTTCCCGCATCTGCCCCTATATCATGCAAAAGACCGTTTTCAAAAAGCTCGTCACGCCCTGAAAGACCTTCCTGGTAAGCAGGGGAGAAAGGAGCTGGGGGGGTATGTGAGCAATTTTTTCTACCTGGCGTTTATTCTCTCTGACGTTTTCGCTCTCCAGGGCCTTATTGCAATGTCACAATCATCGCGGGTTTCAGAGCTGTCTTTTATTTTTTTCTTTTTTATGCCTCTTTTTTTTCAAAGGACTTCTCCCCTTCAAGTCCATGACAGCCTGTTTCAATGGAAAAGTTATTGCTAGGATGAAATTTGTTGTTTATTATTTAGGCGTTTAATCTAAGGGCACATTAGTTCGGAGTTTGAGAATCTAGTATGGCGCCGGGGGAGTAACTGAGGATGCCGCCGTCGGCTTAGCAATTGCTTTAGGATTCCATTTACGAAAAAGCCATTTGTGGCGGCTGAGGACAGTGAAGGGGCGATTGTTGGAATGGACGACGGCAGACGAACTTCCATCATGTTCTTCTTCAACGTGACAAGTATAATCGAGTAGTGAAGGTACCTTTAAAACGTCATGATTTTGTTTTCTAGGTTTTTTGCTCAATTACTGAATCAATCATATTTTTTCCAGGAAATGTGCGACACAGGCGTCACTGTTTTCACCTATGATGCAGACAAGTTGGCAACTGTGGAGTCATCCCACCTGCAAGTGAATCTGACATACCAGGGACCGTTGCTGGTGTCAATGAGCGAACGAAGGCAGACGAAAAATGGGTGAGCGTCGGTATTAATATTTAGGTGGTCGGTCGTTTGCGACCCCCCTGAGCGTGCTCTCCCCCCCCCCCCCCCAAATGGCGGATTTAAAAAGCCAACAAACCAGATAAATTGGGGAGGTAAGGGCAGTCGGTAATGGATTTGTGGATGCCGAAATGACTGAAAACGAAAAAGAACCAAAGCAAGCCGGCGGCGGAATCCATGATCAGTTTCTCCTCTCTTTCTCCTAGAAGTAAGGAAGGGGCGTGTGGTTGGACGAGTTGTACGGCTTGCCTGCTCCACTGACCCGCGCGTATTTGAATTAGCCACTACGCCGTTAATTCACGTTGGTTTGCCGTGGATTGGCGCGACCGTAATCGTCCAAATGCTAAGATTGGTCGCCAAAAGCTGGCTTTGTAAGACAATAACGACTTCTGCTGAGGCTGTTGCTTCAGAAGTTTCAAAATCTGGCATAATATGGCTGCTGTTTAGTTTTAGATGGCGAGATTCGTCGTTCGCTGTAGAGCATGACGAGCTTTTGCGACCGACTTCCATTCAAGCGGTGATTTCTGGTACTGCGGTTGAACCTATACAGGTAAGTAATTTGTTTCAATGGTCTGAACTTGTTCTTCATCTGAAAAATGGCCTCTATGATGGGTGTGGTTTGCATCGCTGCTTTGAGGCGCCCTTCTCCATTATTAACTGTTGGAATCAAAGCTTGCTAGGTATTTATGAGAAAAAGCGCGTTGGAGTTACAATCAAAGCCTTTCAAGTTAAAGCTGCCAAATTGGTCAATCATGGGCCAATCGCCGCAAACACGTCCGCGCGTGGCTGATGTCCTTGTAAGTGGGAGGAAATTGTTCGACAATACCGCGCCGCTGAAATCGGGGACTGCTTAGATAAAATTGAGGCTTTCGATCTTGAAAGACAACTGGGACGAGTCGTATGGTGACGTCATTGGTTGGGTATGGGTCTTAGACGAGGCCTACAGCCCACTTCATTCTGGTAAGTCTGTAGGGTATGTCAAACCACTTCTTAGTGCCCTTCCACCGATGCCGTTGCCAAATCGACCCTGCCTCCAAGTCTCCGCGATCATTACCCTGGATCAACGGATGTGCGAGGAAGGTGAAAAGAGTGTATTTTCAGGAACGAGCTGATTTGGGGAAACCGGAGCACGCAGGTGACGTACGATCGACAGAATCGTGTTGTGGAACGAACGATTAGTGATTTTGTATCCACAAAATATGCCTACTACAAGGAACTTCGGCATCCTTCAACGGTCGAACTGCCCGGTGGCTCAAAATATTCCCTCAAGGTAAGATTTTCCCTAGTCGCTAGGATGCTAGTCCATTTCTGCGGATAAAGATCTAATGTTCCACCAGTTGTGAATGAAATCCAAGTAGGATAGTCAGCCCCCTTAGTGGTCAATTCGGGAAAGTCACATTCGTGATGGTTTTTTTTGAAAGGAGTTCCTCCCAATGATTTTTTTTTGGAAATAGGGACACCACAAGGGGGCTCGCATGAGGGTTGTGTTGGGGTCTTCTCCAGGATGGGCTCTTAAGGAGGAGGACAGCATGCGTCCAACCAATGGGTAACCCGAGTGCCTGTTCCCTTGAGTGATCTGTGTACGGCTTGGTGCAGGGGGCCATTGTTGGGGTATTTCTGTTCGAACACGGCGCACGTAGGAGCTCGCGTCTTAACTGGAATCGTTCCTCAGAAGCGGTATGGTTGCCGTTTTTCCACACAATGGACCACAAGAAATGCCGCTCATGGTTCATCGTGCGCGATCTAGCTCAAAAACGCGCGTCGCATTGTCCCGAGCAGACTGGGCGCAGAAGAGTATCCGCTTGGGGAACGGCAAACGACGGGAAGCGCTGTCACACTTCGCAAGGAGAGGCAATCACAGTACGAAATCGCTGACTCTAGTGCTTTAGATGAATATTTTCAATTTTACTAAGTATTCTCTGGGCCATTTCAGTATGACACACTCGTTGGCGCGTCTCAGGTAAATTCGTGACAGGCCATCTACCCCGCGCCATCTGCATCATTTCGCAGCGTCGGCCTTTTGTAACTGGAGAGCCCGAGTTTCTGAAAGTGCGACGGTACTCATTCAAAATATTTTTTCTGAGATCAATCACAAATAATAGTGCAATGAAAAGAAAGAATAAGTGAGTGAAACAAAGAAAAAGTAAAGAAATAAAGTAAATAAAATATGAAAAAATGAAAGTATTTATTCGATCGTTACATAGCTCTTTTCTTGTTAGAATTAGGAGGTTTCGTTCAGCTGTTTATTAATTTAAAGTTAATTTACCGCACTATTTATCTTTTATGCGTTAAAATCATCGAGTGATGTATATGGTACCCGCGAGCACGGCAACGACCCTGCACCGCTTCGGTTAAATAGTTAGGAAGACATGTGCCAGAAAAAGTCAGGAAACACCTGCTTGAAATGGGTGGATATGGTGGTATTTGTAGAGGTTAGCGCTCTCCCTCTATTTTCGCCAGGACTACTTCCAATTTTGCAATTTTGCTCGGATGCAACCTTTACTTGTTGTTTGGCGCTCTTTTCATCAGGGGGTAGGCATTTCGCCAGTCACAGGGCTTGGCCAAATAAGCTCTATGGGAGGAAACGGACTTTTGAAGAGGTGAGCCCATCCTTTTTTGTTCCCCCTGATTTTTGTCCACTCTGACGTTTCCCCTCTTCCGGGCCCAATTTCACCTTATCACGGGTTTTGAAGGCTCGCTTTTTCATTTTTTTCATGCCTTTTTTTCAACCACCGGAGTTCTCCGCCTTTACAGGCCATAACCGCCTGTTCAATAAGACAATGTGTTGTTACGAAATAAAAACTTCGTATAATTTATGGTTTAATCGTTTGATTATGATAGACGGTTAAGTTCGAATGCTTGAGTTCTATAATGGCTGCTTAACAAACTTCTTGGTGAACGATGCCTACAGTCGGCTTACGAAACTGCTTTAGGATTCCATTTTACGAAAAAGCCATTTGTGGCGGCTGAGGACAGTGAAGGGCGATTGTTGGAATGGACGACGGCAGACGAACTCCATCATGTTCTTCTACAACGTGACAAGTATAATCGAGTAGTGAAGGTACCTTTAAACCGTCATGATTTTGTTTTCCTAGGTTTTTTTTGCTCAATTACTGATCAATCATATTTTTTCCAGGAAATGTGCGACACAGGCGTCACTGTTTTCACCTATGATGCAGACAAGTTGGCAACTGTAGAGTCACCCCATCTGCAAGTGAATCTGACATACCAGGGACCCGCGTTGGCTGGTGTCAATGAGGCGAGCGAAGGCCGACGAAAAATGGGTGAGCGTCGGTATTAATATTAGGTGTCGTCGCTTGCGACCCATCTGAGCGTGTTCTCCTCCCCCCTCCCCCCAAATGGCGGATTTAAAGCAACAAAACCAGATAAATTTGGTGGGGTAAGGGCAGTCGATAATGGATTTGTGGATGCCGAAATGACTGAATACGAAAAAAAAAACCAAAGCAAGCCGGCGGCGAATCCATGATCAGTTTTTCCTCTCTTCCTCCTAGAAGTAAGGAAGAGGCGTGGTTGGACGAGTTGTACGGCTTGCCTGCTCCACTGACCCGCGCGTATTTGAATTAGCCATTACGCCCGTAATCCCACGTTGCGTGTCGTGGGTGTGCGTCTACGTAACTCGTCAATGCTAAGATTGGTCGCCAAAAGCTGGCTTTGTAAGACAATAACGACTTCTGCTGAGGCTGTTGCTTCAGAAGTTTCAAAATATCGAGCATAATATGGCTGCTGTTTAGTTTTAGATGGCGAGATTCGTCGTTCGCTGTAGAGCATGACGAGCTTTTACGACCGACTTCCATTCAAGCGGTAATTTCTGGTACTGCGGTTGAACCTATACAGGTAAGTAATTTGTTTCAATGGTCTGAACTTGTCTTCTTCGTCTGAAAAATGCTATACGAAGTTATGAATGGGCCGTGGTTATGCATCGGCGGCTTTAGGGCGCCCATTATTAACGTGTTGGCAATTAAGCACTGGGTTTTCTTGACAACAGAAAATAGGCGGGTCTATTCCAGTTAGGGGGGCATCATGGTGCGGTGACTCCCAAAAAGCTACGGTAACTCTGAGCCAGGGGGAGTGTAGCCAGCCTAGGGGGTGGGGGTGAGGGCAGTCAGCAGTCACTTGATGCGTGAGAAGCTGGAATGTTCGAGTTTACATTAGCTCGCCGAGAAACTGCATCATGATGCCCCCCCCCTCCCCCTAACTGGAATAGACCCGAAACACAGCGTTAAAAGCTGCCCCATCATAAGTTGTTTCAAGTAAAACTTCCAAATTGCTCAATCATGATGCCATGCCGCAACAGTCCGCGCGCGGCAGTGCCGTTGTAAGTGGGAATGGAATTGTTCGAAATACCGCGCGCTCAATCTGAATGCTTTGTGAAATTGCAGGCTTTTGATCAATTAAGAAGGGCATTCATGTTCTTATAAAGCGTCGACTTCATTCTATGTACTTTAGGGTGTAGATATCCATAAGGGTGAAGCTTCTGCATAGAAAAATCGCTGTAAAATTCTGATAATTGCCATCAAACAATATGGCGAACCTACCCTTTATTTCCGAGAACCAGAAGCTTGTCGAGTGCAGACCACACACCACAGGTGACGGCGACCACCTCTACAAAATTACATGTTTTCTGAGATTTACTTGGATACCGTCGTCACTTGTGGTGTGTGGTCATTTGAGGCGGGGTAGGGGAGCGCGTAACATTGCGTCAGATTCACGGGAACGCTCAGTTCTAGGACTAAGCCTTAGGGGAGAAGAGGAATCCGAGGTGCGTAAGCAATTTTCATTCTCTCCGGAATTTGTCCCTCTCCGTTAGGCTTAGTCCTAGATACTGGCCCCCGTAGGCACATTGCGCCTTTACTTCTCTTCTTGGTTCTGTCCCTTCATAAAGTAATGATTACGGTCATCAAGTATGCGGGCGATAGCTCCCACATTCCTTACTGGTACTGTAATTGTTCGAGGGGTCTGTCTGAAAGATTCCGCCAGCTCGACCGCTGCTTCGGAGCAGGTCTTCGAATGGGTTTCTTTGTTCTCAAGGATATTCCAATGATATCAAGTGCCTGTCTAATTTAGCTGGCTTACGATGAACGAACAGCCTTCATGTCTGCATATGCTGGTTACCAGATCTTGAGGGAATCAACGATGGTTCAGGATCCAGGGTTTCAAGGTAAACTCTTCATAGATTAACCACGATTACCGTTGAGGAAAAAGCAGCTTTATTCTGTCCTTCATAATTCCTTCATAATTATTCATTCATTATTCCTTCATAATTTTCAGATGATGCATGAAACATCGCTGGACATCTACAGGCAACCAGTATCTGTGAAGATCGTCATCGGTGATGTGCGATTGTCGTTGATGACCGTGCGTGACTCAGCAGGACGGGCAATAGTGAGCGCCTGGAGAACGATCACGGGTGACTTCAAGGAAACTCGCAGTTTCGACGTTCAGGGACGATTAGCTAGTCATGAAATGAACGGAAAAGAGAGGTGAGTGTTCTGAAAATGTATTGCTCACAGTAGGACTAATATCTTCGTTCAGGTGGCTCTTCAAGTACAACAATGACAGCCGCGTGATGCTGATGAATGACGTCGTATGTGAATGGCATGCTGGAGGTGTGCCGAAGAAGGCCGGTCGTGTAGAGTATGCTGTCGATGGGAATGGATGGACTAAATAAGAGAGGTAAATTTCTATGTGACCAGAACTGGTTAATAAGATGGCTCGATAAAGGCTGAAGGAACCCTCCAGGACAGTCGTGATTTTTTCCCACCCATAAATCACTGTTCTGAAACCCATCGTTCACGATAATAAAAAAAGATCAAAAAATTGTATTTGTTTTGCTAAACAATTCGGAAAACCAGCAGGACTGCTACGCGATCAAATTCCCGCCGGACATCTGCCTAAATGCCTGCGCGGAAACGCCTGCACTTGGTTCTGGAGTGCTGTCACACTGTATGAATTTGCCGAAGTGCAGTGATTCTCATGCACCTCAAGCTGGCTGTGTAAACATGCATGCACCCTGGAAAAGTAGATTTTTGGCTCAGCTTTACAGGTACAAAAATACCGCAGGAAGTAAATCTTGGTGACTTAAGCGTCTTTGAATCAAAACTTCAGTTCATGAAACTGCTCCAACTCCAGCTTGATCTTACCTTCACCATGTATTCTGAATTATCAGTTAACCGCCCCGGTCATCGACTTTGTGGCGACCACAATTCGATGGCCTCAAAAAAAGCGATATTACGTCCATTTTTTTCATGTGACACTGTCTGATGCAAGCTTGCTACTTCTGCAGTTACGGCACTTGTGCAGTTGGCGGGAAATAAAGGTGTAACCCTTGCCAAACATCCAACGCGGATCATTTTTGTAAGGGTAAAGTGATAACTTTTTGTGATGAATTGAGTTTCAGGTGATGTAACGTTTGAAATGGACGGTTATGGAAGATTGATTGGAGCTCGTGGTCCATCCATTGATATGAAATTCGATTATGATTACCAGAATCGGCTTATATCAATCTCCAATGGAGCGGTAAGCAATTTGTTCTTTTTATGGCTGATTTATTAATGATTTTATCTCTTCCGTGACGTGAGCAAGTGCAGAGTCTACAATACCTGCCGCGCGCGGTCGCGTTGCGACCATGAAGTCAGCTGCGAGCTCTTTCGAATTAGAGTAACATCAGAGTTCAAAGTCAAATAAGAATTAGCATGAAATGCCGGCAGCAACCTGGTCAGGTTCATGTTACTTGCAATTCTGTTTTATCCTCCCAAGCGACACCGCTTCGTGGAATTTCTATACACCACCTCTTTGTGAAGAGTGACCAACAAAGTTTTTTTCGCCGATTTTGAACGCCCCTATAAAACAGTTTTCAGACGCTGTACTCTCTATTCTATGCGTTACCGCATTTACCTCGGCGTGTGTCGCACTTCCAGTCATCGTCGGATTCGTCAGCAACTTCGATTCTCTACACAGAGGAAGGAGTACCGTTTGCGATGAGCCGTGATGGATTCCGATATGCGGTTGCTGTCGATGACGATGGCAGTCTGAGGTGGGTGCTTCTGAGACTGTCATCACTGCATTCAGTGTTCTCTCTATCGTGAACAGGAACCACGATAATCGTCTGTCTGGCTGAGGTACCCGACAGGAGGCCCGTCGCGCGGCGAGAAGGCAGAGACGCAGACGGGTCAGCGGACGAGTCGCAGCGCGTACTGTAGCGATTTGGCGTCAAGTAAATAGAATGTGCTATAGTACGTCCCATAGCGCAGCACGCGCTGCGACTCGTCCATTGACTCATCTGCGTCTCTGCCTTCTCGCCGCGCGACGGGCCTCCTGTCGTGATAGCCGTCCGGCTAACCTAAGTGAAATAAGGGGGAGGGAGTGTACTTGGCGGGGTCATAGTTATAGGAGACATCAGAAGAATTTCATGGGAAGATGGAAGAATCCTGAGAATTTCGGGAAGCTTTGGGATGTCTGGCCAATTCTGTCGTTTAAATAGACACAAATAAATAAGTTTTGTGATTGCCTCGATACACTGCCTCCTCAATATACTTCTGTGGTTTTGGAGGCAGAGTATGAAGTGCTTCGGGTTATCTGCTAATGGAAGCTCCAGGGGACCGCAAGGGGGAGGGTCAGGGGGGGGGGAGTGGAGGGAGGGAGAGGTTCATATGGTTGAAATCGATTACCTGTTACGATTGACCCGGGCAGAAAATTCGAAATGTTCTGGGGAAAGCCACTGGGATTTTCGATGCAAGTCCTCGATCGGTTTCTAACCATAAGTAGACCTATTTTCCCCTTAGACGTGATCATTTCGTTCAATTGGGAACTAGAGGTCAAACAAGGGCACTACCTAAAGGAGTAAATAAGATGTTCAGGTATTTGCTGAGCGAGTCTGGTATTGAGAAGGAGATCCATCGTGATCCACTTGGTCGAGTCATAGCTGATACTCAGTCGAAATTCTGGACTCCGTTAGGGTTCC